TTATGTTTAATTTCTAAATCAAAGTGTTGTGGGAAGATGATTGAAATCTGAAGATGACTCAGATCCACTTGATATGTGGTTTTCTTCCTACAGAAACCTTAGGGTAGACTGCCATTTCCATGTTAGAAAGAACCTAATAGTGACGGGATTAAAATAAATAGTTTCACTATATACTGAAAGTTTATGTTAGTTACTTTGGTTCTTAATCTGAGTTTTTTTTAAAGAAATTTGAAAACTTCAATAACATAGGAATCTCTCCCTTCTCAACCCCGTGTATCTTTTTATTTTTTAACTATGGGGGCAAAGAAGTAATCCATGTATTTTCCCAACAAACTTTGATTTTTTTGATTCGTGATTCTTTTTCTTTTTTAACCAAAGAACATAATTTGTCTATTTGGGTCTTTGCCTGTATAGAATCTTCTTCTGCCTCCAGAGGGTGAATGGAGATTGCATGGCCCTGTTAGCTGTGTCAGATGTTGCTGGTGAGGCATAGTAAATGGTAATTGTAGTGTATCTCCTACCTCACCAAAATGAACTTTTTTTTTCTTATTTGTATTTCTTAAAGAAGTCATACAAAATACTAAGCTAGAGCTGTGAAATGGAATTTTTTTTTCTCAGGTGTTTTAAAAATAGGAGTTAGAAATGTTCCCCTGTCTGGATTTCTCTCATTGTCCCTTATCTGAACCTCTGAAAGGCTTCTGTGTGTGGGGTGTGCAGCACAGTGCACTCAGACAGTGCTGCTCAGAGAAGGAAGTGAAGAGTTTTGGTTCCCATTTTACACTTCTGGAACAGTTTAGGGAAGGAAGCACCTTTACACCTTTTATTGTTCGTGGTTGCTGACATCATATCCTTCCCTGACCAGTCTGTGCGTGTTTCCTGCCATTCTGTCAAGATTCTTCTGTGTTACTGGGAGGGATTTGTGGGAGGGAGGAAGAGAGCGAGAAAGAGTGTTGGGGAGGGTGGGGGGGGTGTCACTCAAGGGAACTTGTTTGTAGAGGAGAGAGCCTGGGTGGGAGAAGGATCTTTAGCATCTGTCCGCAAGAAATTCTTCTCTCCTTGGGTCTCAAACCACGTTGCCTTCATCCATCTGCTTATGCCAAACTCAAAGTGAACAGAAGCCTGCCATAATGAAGTTCCCCTTTTTAGTAAGCAGCCTGATTTTATTTTTCTTATATTTAGGATGGCAAAAAAGAAAAAAAGTGCAGAAGACTATAGCTCTATAGAGTGTAACTGTGGTAGAGTATTTCTCTTTCTTTCTTTCTTTTTTAATTACTGATTGTTTCTCTGTAACTCTGTCATTTTCCAAGAATGCTTCTTTCATGTGGAAAGAAGTAGCGGCAAGGCTGCTGGAATTATTTTAAGCTTATGGTTGATTGTACATAATGAAAGTTCTCAGCATAACTTGAAATCTACTATGTGTAGTTTAGCTATTATATTCTTTTCTTCATATACCTACAAGACAGTTTTTCAGATAACTAAAGTTATATAATCTCTTTTTCAGCCTCTCCAGGCCTCCTACAAATGAATGCTTGAAACTGACCTTACAATATAATTTTTGCATAAAAATCAGATTGGAAAAATAGTTATGCTAAAAAAACAGCTGCTGAGCTATTGTTGACCTTCCTAACTCTTTGCATTTTTACTGACAACCTTGAACCATAGTGACCCATAATCAAATATTCTAAGCCAAGTGCTCCAAGACATATTTTACTTTGTGAAAACAGTCTCGTTATCTAACTCTGTATATGTATTGAATCATATCAAATTTTGCATTTCAAAAATGTTCAAAAGGCAACACACTTCACAAAATAATTCATTTTTTACAGAAAACAATAGAAGTTTAATCTCACTGATATTTAAACTTGCATCTCTCCACATGACCTTACATATTTCAAAAAGGAAAATATATTTAATGGCAATTTTTAATATATCATAACTATTTTATATATATATACAAACTGAGACATAGCAATTCCTTCTGGCAGAATATTTCCCATCGTGTTTTAAGAATTAAAAAAGAAAATCCTTGCTCTGCTATTTTGAAGAAGTGTCTCTCATTTCAAAGCTGTGAAATGTGGGGTGGCGATGGAGGGGAAACTCTCCTAAGTTTGGTAGGGTCAGGAGCTCTGTCTATCTGGGGAGCCTTTTCTCCAGGGATGTTTCTCTGCTTGTTTGGTTATTTGTATTTTGAAATCAGGATCCGTAGAGGTTCTCATCTTCCCCGCCTCGTCCCACACTAATCTGCTCACCCTGACCTTCCACCTTAAAGTGAATAAGCGCTTAGGCAGGCATAGTCCTGTAAGCCGATAGTGCCACCGGCCTCAGCTAAATGACAGAAAGGAAATTGTCCCATATGCGTTTGCTGTGGATTCATGGGTTGGCTTTTCTGTGGTAAAGGAAGCCTCTTTGTCTCTTTGGGGTCTTGCCCACTCGTGGGAAATACCACCGTAACATGCTGCTTGCTTCTAAGGTAAGACTCTTAGGAAACAGGAAAGTTATCCAGTTGAGTGATATTTAAGACTGTTACTAAAGATAGACAGATGGACACTGTTTGGCAATAGTGAATGTAGGATGCAGTTGTGCTTAGTGCATTTTTCATATTTTAATATATCTTGCAGCTAATTTTTTCCTGCATATTTGTCAAATGTGTATTATTTGTATAACTCTCAAACTCCGAACTATTTCCAGCATTTAAAATGACCACTGGAGCAATAGTATTTGATGAGCAGTGTGTGGTCATGATATTACTCAACATATATACATATTCTCAGAGGCAGAACTGAGCTGCAATTTAATAGAAGGGGTTGGGCAAAAGAGAATGGATGGTATTTAAGTAGCACTTAATCCACCAGAACTAATTATATCATAATAGCTTCTGCAATTAGATAATCACAGAAAACTTAAATTAAAAAAAAAGTTTACTCAAGGTGATAAAGAATTTAGAAATTAAATTAAAGAAACCAAAAGACAGCTGATGATCAGACCAAGTGTGTAACAGTTCCAATTCCTGTTCCAATAACATTGAATTAGAGCCAAATAATCTAATAAATAGCCAGGGCATTGGCTTAGCATTACATAATACATGTGGGAATTTATCAGGTCAGTTCTCAGACACCACACTAAAATAAACAGGGAAACTCTGAGCAGTGTGTAAAGCAGTTGCATTCTTTGACAGAAGACAGGATAGAATAATTGAAGCTGTTGCTTGCAAATGAAGAAGCCATTGTGGAATGCCTTCTTGTTAACTTCCACATTTCACAGCAATTCACTTTCATTACGTTCAAATATTTTCAGATATAATTTAAAACAAAGTGAAATAAATACTTTTAATACTCTGGGTCCTTGGGTTGATTTTGTATTATTGATGACCACTTCCTCCATTTTAATTCATGGCTTAAAGATATACAGTATATAGCAAGCTTCTGTAATTTTGTATCTTCCTCCCCAAAGAGATATGATATGTCTTTTAAAAATATTTAAATTTAGAGGACTGATGGCTTATTATAAAAAATATAGTTATAAATGGAATGATACTCTAATTTTTCACCCTTTCTTTTGTATGAATGATTATCTTTCTTGATTCTTGTACTCAAGATACAGCTTAAGGGCTTTCAAAAGGGAAAAGAGATCTCACTGTTGATAGCTGCTTGTTATGTGAGATTCAGTATTCCACATTATTTTTACAGTGTTCTCATAGCAGTGACTTTTTAAAAATAAGATTAAAGGATTTAGATTTAAATTAGTTGACATTTACATATATCAAATAGCACTTTCATAATAGTCCATCCTATTTGCATAACGAGGGACGTTATCACCTCTGCTGTCAAAACATGAGATTGTTTTCCCTTCAGAAATGAATTAGCTGCCCTACTTAGCATACACAGGTACATAAAGGTTCATTAACTCTCTGATTTAGGTAATTTTTCATAACAGAAGGGTGAAAATAGTCACCTAATTTCATTAAAAATACTAAGAAACTCTTTGCAAAAGACATTTCAAGTGTTGGGCTTTAAAGCATAGTTTTCATCATTTAAATGACTTGTTAAATTACTTACGAGGTTATTTTAATTATAAAAAACAACTCATTCCTACTTGATATGCTCCTGCATGTGGTCTATACCGTGTACTTTTAATAAGTACTTATTTTCATTCATTTGATTGGCTTACTTCCAGAGAGTTTTATTTTTAAAAAATTAGATTATAATAGGTGTTATGAAACTGGCTTGCTATTAAAGTGGTGTTTAATTTTTCCTTTTTGTTCAGCAGGAACGAATGCAGGAATTTGGGAACTGAGCAGTGCAAGTGCTGAAGAAGGAGATTTGTTTGGAGGAAACAGGAAAGAGAAAGAAAAGGAAGGAAAAAATACATAATTTCAGGGACGAGAGAGAGAAGAAAAACGGGGACTATGGGGAGAAAAAAGATTCAGATTACGAGGATTATGGATGAACGTAACAGACAGGTGAGTGGGGTAAACTCTTTTTGTATTATTATTTACATGGATCATTTATTACATCCCCCCTACCAGGTATATTACAGGTACTGAAAACGTTTTGATCTTAGAAGCAAGAGAAGTTTTAGTGAATTTAATGTGGCCAGTTTAAGTGTTAATAGTCTCTTATGTGTAAAGGAAAAAAATTACCCTGTTTGTTAGAAATACACTTTACACCTTCCTGATTATTCACTTTTTACTTCAACGTGAATGTTAAGTGGGAGCTACATTTGTGTGACATGAATAGCTTAATAATTAAGAGTTAATACGCATAACGTTGCTACACTGCACGCATCATCAAACAAAGATATTCTCATGTTCATGGGAACGAGGCCTTTTGTGGTCATCCACTTAAAGGTTTGTAACATAGGCTAAATGTTCTGTATAAAAATGGCTTTCATTCTATTCACAGTAAAAAAGACTTTGAAGTACATCCAAATATTTGACCTTGTGCTAACAACAACAAAGAAAACACCCTCCAAAAATATTAGTACCTTCCAGCATATAGGCAAGAACTATTAGTTAGTCCATATCATTTTCTTTAAACCCTGAATTTTATAAACCTAGAGGCAGATGATGTTATAATTTTTTCCGAGAACTCCAGGGACACCTATATGATACAATTGATCTGTTCTAAAGACATTATACATCCAAATGCTCTATTCAACAGAGACTTGTATATTATGAATATCTGTGCTTGACTCTTTTTCTTCACACTTGGGGAGAGTGGATTTCATTAAGCGATGTAAGAATAGCTGGGTGGTTTGTATGCCTTCTACTGTTAAATATCAAAGAATGGTCCCTCAGAACTACTACAGTACTGCCCCATCTCAGCCACTGCAGACGGATAATGGGACCTACAACACGGGCTTTCCTTGACCGTGGGAGAGGAGAGCACTTTCCTGTTGCCCATTTACACGAGGGAAAGGTGAGAGGCCAGCCTTGGGGACACCTCACCAGACAGTAATTTCCCTCAAATAAAGGCACTCTATCTCTCCTACTGTGCCTTCCTATCTTCCTGGACCTGCAAATGAGACTAGGACTGATTTGTGGTTTAAAATTTTTTGTTGCTACCCGTGTATAAATTACAATGACTAGAAGTTGTTGTTTATGCCATCAAGGCCCCTATGCCATTAAGAGGTTAAAAAAAAAAACTTCTTAGATTTTCAGGTTTTAACTCCCTCAAAGTATTATATTTGAAGTACATATGACAAACTATTTTTGGCTGAAAATTGATCTAGAGAGTCAAAAATGCTAAGATTTATGATGGATTCTTTCAGTATTTTCCTGCACATTGTTTATTGCTATGGGTCAGGCCAAAAAGCAGTAATTCTGTCAATATAAAGCCACTTTTGGTAGGGAGGTGGTAATAGCTCAAGTAGTAGAGCACACACTTAGCATACACGGGGTCCTGAGTTCAATCCCCAGTACCTCTTTTAAAAAAAAATTAAATAAATAAACCTAATTACCTCCTCCCCCCAAAAAACTAAAAATAATAAGAAGTGAATTAAAGAACACTGTATTTTTTAATTGAATCATAGCTTGAAATTGGAATTAAGACAGAAACATTGATCATCATACCACTGACCTTTAGACCCTGTTGTTTGAACTAGCACCTGTTTTGGGTGCAGTCAAAAATTATATGAATTATCACCTTCACTTCATGAATAATGCCAAGTTGTTTTTAGATTCATGAAATTTATTGTATCTTCCTTTCTCTTACAAAGACAAAAGAAAGTTTTTGCAGGTTGAATTCACGAGCTTTCATTATGCTTTATAAAAGAACGTAAACTCACACAGGCATATAAGAATTTTAACACCGTACTTCTGAGCTAGTAATTGAACACTTTTTCTTAATTGAAATATAGTTGCATCTACAATCGCTGTTACTGACACCCATGTTAGAAATCCTAATAACTTAGCAGAAAAATTATTTAAATTCAGCATAATCTTATCTTTTTTTTAATCTTGAAGAATTCCTTGATTTTATTCTATAGAATTTAGGGTCTATGTAGTCTTTTTTCCTCTGGTCTTTAGGTTCAGTTGCCCTTTTAATTCAGTAAAATTGAAAGCTTTCATATTTTAATATGTTGAAATATATATTATTTTAAATGGCTATTGATAATCTTAAACAGCCACCTTACTTATAAATACTTGTCATGCACGCCTCTCATCTACTACAAGGGTCATCCTAAGAGCCATTTGGGAGAAAGCCTAAAAGATGTGGGTCACTTCTAATAATCACCACCAGCAGACCTGCAACAGCATGTAATGTGAAGTGAGGACGCATCCTGAACCTAGGCTCCCTTTAAAGTATGTGTTCACGTGTTGAAAAGAAAAACGTTAACTGCTTTGCCCTTTTTGAAGCTTCCCCCACTGCAGACTCCCTAAGAGAACCTCACACAATGGCTCACTGTCATCTTTTCTTAATAGCAGTAAAAGCCTTCCCTGCCATTGCAGGTGTTTATTTGACTCTACAGAGAACAGGGTGTGTTTTTACAGAATAAGAAATACTGACGTAAAGTGTGAAATGAAATATTACAGAGCTGATGTGATAAGTTGTATATCATTAAGAAATAAAAACTGTGGTAAAACAGAGCAGCTGACTGTTTAAATTGAATTTTGCCCTTACTTTATCTTTTGTTATGGCAGTAGGCAACAGCTAAAATTCAGAAACTCCGATTGTATACATAGAATAGTTTAGGAGAGGGGAAAAATTAACAGCTTGTTTTATTTTTTTAAAGATTTTCCAGAGTCTCCAAGTTTCTGAAAACTACTTATTTCTCAATCTCTAACCTAAACAAGGTGGATTTGTTAAGCTAGTATATAAAAATAATAAAATCATAAATTGTCAGTTTGTCTTACAGAAATTTTCAGATAACTTAGAAGTAGCTACGTGTACCAAGAACTACATATATACTATAACATTTAATCCTTGTTAATTCCATTTACAGCTGAATAATTCATTTATTTGTTAAATCAACAAATACTATTTGTTAGCATTAAGCATTCGGCAGTAAACAAGAAGGGTCTCATGCAGCTTATTGTCTGCCGCAGAAACCAGCAGGCTTTTTCTCTAAAGGTCCAGATAGCAGGTATACAGTCTCTGTCTGGACTCCTTGGCTCTGCTCTAGCAGCAAAAGCGGCGACGTGGAAACACATACATGAACGAATGTGCCTGTGTTTGAAAGAAACTTAACTGGCAAAACCAGGGGGCAGGCTGGATCGGCCAGTGGACCATAGTTTGTGTCCCCCTGGCCTGGTGGGATGAACCAGACATGGAATGTGCAAATATGCAACAGAACCTTATTTCGTCTGTGCTATGAATGAAACTGTCCAAGTGCTGTTAAAGAATAACAGGACGTGCTTTATTTGGATTGGGGGTGGGAGAAAGACCTCTCTGAGGGCATGCTGAAAGATGGAAGCTAAAAGATGATTCAGAGTGAGGCAGGTGACAGCGTTCCAGAGGGAACAGTGTTCGCAGAGCTCCTTCAGAAAGGAAAGAACATGCTAAGGAGTCGAAGGAAAGCCTGTGGAACTTGAGCCTGGTGTGGATGACTTCACAGAGAACAGAGGAAAGATTTCAATGCTAGGCAGGGCCCAGATCATGCAAAGCTTTGGAGTTAGATAGTTAACATTAGCAGGGGGCCAGGATTTGAGCCCACATCTTTCAGATTCAAAAACAAGCTTTTCTCAATTATGTCATGCTGCATTGTGCATAATAGAATGGCTAAGGACATGGTCTTATGTCATTGTTTTCCCCAGTTACATCATGCTGCATCCAGTACAATATAATGGTGACGAGCATGGTTTTTAGAGGCATGCAAACCTCATCCTGGGCCTGGTCCTACAACCTGTTAGCTGTGTGATGTGCCAGCAAGTGACTTAACCCCTCTGAGCCTCATCGTTTTCCTCTTTAGTAGAGTGAAGATTGAAAAATAGTACCCACTTCATTGGGTCATTGAGATGATTAAATTGAAGGATAAATGTAAAGCACTTAACGTAATAATAAGTGCTCAGTAAGCTTACCTGTTAGCTATTCCTGTTACAACTCGCGCTCTAAACCATTAGCTATTATAGTTAGTGTGATTTCTATCAAAACAACTCCTCTGCTGTGTAGCACTTGAAATAATGGTACCTGAACCTTCATTTCAAGAGGATGCTACCTTAAAAAGGTATCAGGGAGATGGAGGGAGCAGTGGAACAGAGTAGAGCTGGAGCAGAAAGAAGTGTTTGGTAGCTAACAAGGGACAAGAGAATGACTTCAGAGCGAGAGCCAGCTGATGGCAGAGGCTGGCCTGGGGAGAGGGGAAGTCACACAGAGCGTTCGCAGAGCAGGACTTGTGACAAGGATGAGGAGTAGTTTCCCAAGTCTCTGCTTGTGGGACTTATTTTCAGATGTGTTACTGACCGAATTATTTTGAACTACGTATTACTGTTTTTATCGCTTCTAGCTTCCAGCTTGTCCTCACATCTGCATTTTTTGTTCTTACCTCTGAGTTATCTTCATCAATTACACAATAATCTTACCCTCCTTTGTATGATACCAGTTTTCACTATGCTCCTGAAACAGCCAGATTTTTAAATAAGCTCTGTCCTCATATGACTCCTTTTACAAACAGAATATACTTAGACATCTGTTCTCTCTGTTATATCAGGAAGAAAGATATATGAAAACTAGGCATGCTTAACCTAAATTTGTATGTTTATATTTAAAATTTTCAGCTTTCCCACTTTGAAAGTATAGGAAAGGTAAACCTGAATTTATTTGTGTGACTTGTTATAAAAAGACATTTAAATATTTGAATAACTATCAGAGAGAAGTATTTGTCAAATAACGTGGTTAGGGACTAATATCGTTGAGTTAAGGAAAAAAGACTTTTGAATGTCTTAAGTTCTTTTCTTCCGTCAGATCTGGCACGTTAACAGTTTTTGCCAGCAAACAGAACTTTCTGTAATTATCAAAGCAA